CACAGAAGGCTATCACATTGGTCAGGCATGACTTCCCCTTCGTGAATCCATGTTGACCACTCCTGATAACCTTCTTTTCCTCCACATGCTTATTGATGACCCCCAGAATTAGCTGTTCCATCACCTCTCCGGGGATGGAGGTGAGGCTGACTGCCCTATAGTTTCCTGGGTCCTCTTTCTTGCCCTTTTTGAAGGCCAGAGTGACATACCCAAGTATTTTATTGGTCTATCCCATCAACACTTAGGATTTCTTATTTTACTCTGACTGAAGAATTGCCAAGACTGTTGGTCAATAATACTGAAGAGTTAATTAGGCGCTCTCAGTGTCATCTTCTTAATGCCGACATTTTCCACCACGCATCTAGAAGACTCACCAATTTTCACATTCTTCCTATATTGATATAGTGAAATAATAGATTTTTCACTAACTGCCTTTCCAAGTTTTCCCTTGTTTTTGTCTGTGTGTAGTCTGTCCTCAGCAGAGACCGTACAGGCCAGTTAATTAGTATGCAACTCAGGGTGTTTCAGGGGTGAATCTTCTATGTGTTCACAGTCAAGTTGCATGCAGCACACTGATACCACGGGTGCCCGTGAAATGTTTTCTCACGGTACACTAGAATGTGATTTACAGAGTTGCAGTTGCTCCTCACTGGTCCCTGATGCAGACACTATTCAGATGCACAAAGTGTGGAAGATTACTCCCTTGAGAAAACTGCTTTGCTTAAGGGCACTCTAATGGTATGCCATCTACATGAGGAGTTACTGAATTTGACCAGTATAGTGGCAGATTGCTCCCTTGTTTAACTTAAAAGCCTGGACATGTTCTTAGCAGTCTCTTGACTCTCACATAGCACATTTTTCCCCAGCAATGTCAGTAGTATTACCCTGTTAGGTAACATTTGCACAACAAATGGTTGTGCAAGAAGATACCTGACCCAGCTGCCAATAGAAAGGGTGCAAATCAAGTCAACACCCAAGCTCCCCACACCCTTTCCCTTGCAATTGCTCACACTACCACCAATGTCTATGTTGAGCAGATCAGTGTTGACCATAAGGAATCATGTAAGAGTCAAGATCAGGCTGAGTAGAGCAGTTCCAATTACTTGACATCAGCATCTACGCAGATTCCACCCATAGGGCTTTCTGCCCCGAGATTATCCAACTGTGCCAAACAGTATGTGTCTGTCCCTTATGCCTAGCTGCAACTTATTACAATATTCTGTTGATTTGCCATCCTAGCAGGTCTCAATATATGCCCAGTCTAGCATAGCTCGCACTGAAGCAGAAGACAATGTATTTCTTCTAGTTCCCTAAGGGCCGAAGAATGTCAAGCTATGACTTACAGTCTTACCAGGTCCTGCAGTTCTCGTAGCTGTTTTCCTGTAAGTCCCCCAATTCCTAGGTCATCATCATCTTCTTCTGGTTGGCTAGGGACATTCCCAGAAGAGGGGCCTTGTTTGATAAAGAACTCTTCATGTTGGTCTAGTAGCAATCCATGCAGCATCCAGGCAGAGAGCTGCTTATACATGACTCCATGACACACAGCCAGAATCCTGAAGTCAAGGGAAACAGACGGTGGGGCCTTTGCAAGCAGTAATCAAAACCTCATTGCACATCATCCTGGCAAGTCCAGTTAGTCAACCAGGCAACATGGCAAGTGCTAAATGGCTAACGTGGAATTTTATTTTTTTAATTTTTTTTTTTTTTAAACAGAGAAAGGTGGACCAATCACTTGCAAAACTAAACTAACATATCCTCTCAATACGTGGCTTCTTCGCGGAGATCTACTAGTATACTAGAACTATAAGGAAGTTTACAGTGGCTTCCCAGTCCTGCTGTTTCCACTCAATTACCATTTCAGCATGAACACAAATTATATTTTAAGTAGTCAGACTTTCTCCCCAAGGACACACAAACCTAGCAACACTCACGCAGTCACATTTATTCTTTTGAAGGATCAAAAGACAATAACAGGTCTACCATATGCAAAACAGTTCATGCAGACCTCAACAGAAGAAAAAACATAGGGTCTGAACTTTTCTCTGCCCTAAATCCAAAGTATGGAGAAAGCCTTAATTCCTGCCATAAACCTGCTTTAGATAAATAATGGGTACTGTGACTGTTTTCCCTGCATGCAACTCCTACTTCTATGTCCTGCAAGCCTGTTTTGTATATACTGTTTTCACAAGTAAGATAAACACTTTGACACTAACTCCAGTTACTACAGAAGAATGAAATAATAGCTTTACTGTATCTACATACTTTTCAAGAGCACTGCGAACGGGAGGTAACCCCCCACAGCTATGTTTGTGCACTGTCTCCAATATCTGACATCCATGAATCTGCAGAAAGAAAACAGGGTTAGACTAGGTCTGTTATTTGGATCTGTACTGAGCTTTTCAGACATTTAAACATTACACTTTTGGCTAACAAGAAAATGCGTTATCAACCTGCACAAGCCTTAGAGAAAGAAAGATGTAACATATTCCATGTAGTGAAGAAAGAGGTGTTCTATGTGTGGCTCTACACCCAAGCTTCCCTCAAAAGTTTCCCTTAACAAAAAGTAAGCATCTCTGAATTCTGAAAACATTAGCTTCTGGTTTTTGGGGTTTTTTTTTTTTCATTTTTCAGGTAACAGTGGGAGAAAACAGACTCAGAAAAGAAGAAATTCCAACCAGCAGCATCTTGTACCATGAAATGTATCGTGATTATAAAATGGAAGTCGTCAGAGATCATACTGATAATGAAAAAGTCAAATCCAGTGTAAACGAATTTGCAAAATAGTTATTCAATACTTATAGTAGTACTGGGAATAGCGCACCCATTACTGAAACCACATTCTTTCCTAGTATTAAAGGTCTGGGATTGGGGGCAGAAAGAACTTAATCAGCTAAAGCGGAAAATTATTAAGAGAAACTAGCTACAATTTTACTGTACCTTCTGAGTCTTTATCTGTTCCACCATGACCATCACAGAGGGGAAGAGTAACTGAAACTGCAGGAGCAAAATACTGAATTAGGTTGCTATACAAGGGAGACAGAAAAATTATACTTAAGTGTGGACAGCAGCTGACTGCAATAATTTCATGAAAATATCATCTGGCTTTCCCCACAAATTAGAAACATGACATGAAAATCTCTAGGAAGAGTGTCCTCCCTCCACTTGACCAAGATGCATGAAGTTACTATGTTCCAGCTGCAGTTCAGGCTAAACACAGGCAGCGGGGAATATGTGAGGGTCAAGATGGAGGACCTAAGCTTTGTGTCAAAGTGCAAGTGATCCTCTGAGCATGATTAAGGGACTACAAATGTAGAGGCATTAAAAAGAAATGGCATGACATGACAGACTAACCCTTATTTATCCCACCCATTTTCTTATTAGACTCAAGGAGTGATAACAATAACCAAAGAGCACTCCCTGTTTATTAACATGACATACCTGGTCCAAGGAATAATTAACATGTGAGATGGAAAGATGTGGGTCAGCCAGAAACTGTAAGAACAACAAAGCAATTAATGAAAATTAAAATAAGGTACAGACAAATGAAAAAGCATGTTTGGCTCTACCTTCCAAACCTTTAGTTCCCACAGCTTCTTCCCCCCCCCTCCCCCACCCCGATATTTTCGGGTCATGTCCCATTTTAGGCTATAGCAACCACTGGATGGTGACAGTACCCAAGATAAGACAGCTGCTAATCTAGCGGAGATTAATCAAAACCTTTACAACTGAAAACAGAAGTCACAATAGGTTGAGACAGCACTGGGCTCTGAGGCAGATAGGGCACTTACTGAATTGAAGGTAGAGGGGACTTAATACTTATTAGAATGAAGACTCATTTACAATGGCACTTCACAAGAATAATTTGGAAGACATCTCTGATGTGGAAAGGAAAATACCTTGTCTCCTCTTTAGCTACTATTACTTAGCATATTAATTGCAGAAATGACAACTTTCCACAATGTCAGGACAGCCTCTTGTTCCAAGTCTCTCTCCTTTACCTCTTGTTCTAGGTCAAGTAGTGCCTGTCGATACGGCTGCAGCACTGAATCAAGACCTGTGCAGAAGGCTCGCAAATAAATGCCATGTAATCCACTCTGGTTTTGCTGAGATGGGTGATGGTCCTGAAAGCAAACAATAAAATCTACATCAGCTCCCCAGTGCAGGTCTAAAGGGTAATGGAGTTTCTGTGCAGTGTTACCAGCAGCCAGTGGTCCAAACATGTTGAAATGTACCTTAGCCCACCAGAAAGTGCCCAGGAAAAAAAAAAAAAACAGAAGTTTGTCACAAGGAGAGTTACTTGACCAGTTATATTTAGCTCTTCTGTGGACATATGCAAGTGCTGGGAAACACTGGTAACTTCAGTGCTTCTTTGTACGTACACATGCCTGCTGGATCTCAAAGCTCTTCACAAACCATGAGAAGGGCTCACTACAACATAGGGATGAGCATCCTGCACAGTTCACAAACCCTGGCCAGTCTGCAGTGATCAGAAATTATTACAGTATGCTTCCCCAAGAACAGGATTTTACATTAGGTCTGTCTTTCACTGTTCTGCACTCTCCCTTACTTGCAGTGCACAGAGCTTTCTGGGGCTCTGTTCAGAAAAGTGCATTTGTTTGTGCTGGCGCAGATATGTGCTGCGGAGCATCCGCGCATCCGGTGCAGCTTGGCCGGACTGGCATCCACTGCGCTCTGCCCGGGAAATACAGCGATGCGGTGCGGCAGCCCCACCTGCTGCTGTACGTGTCCCGTGTACTGCTCCACGAATTCAGCGAAGCGGATGTAGTCGGTGCCGAGACGGCAGAGCCGGTTCAGGACGCTGGTCTCGCTGGGGTGCAGGAATGGCAGTTCCTGAGACACCTGAGGGGGGAAACAGCCGTGAGGAGCGGTAAGGGCGGTGACGGCAGGGCAGACGGGCCGCGTCGTACCTGCAGGCCGCCGCGC